CCCAATTCCACGAGTAAACTTGTTTCTAATAGACATGCAAAACTCTTGGATGCAAATAAGAATTTTAGCCTTTTCAAGTAATCAAAATCTCTCAATGCTCGCTCCATAACCAGAAAAAAGTTTTTGTTAATTATCTAAATCAAAAGCTGGTTTGATGCGAACTAAAAGGAAGTCCTCTCTCTCTCTCTTAGTTGTGTAAAAGGGTTGAACTCAAGGGAAGTCCAGTCTCTTCATCTTTTGAGTGTTAATTCTTTTATTTATTTATTTAGTAGTTCAACGGTAAGAATTGAACTTAAAATGCAGTGTTTTTTTTGGGTAAGTCAATGAGATAGAAGGCCGTTTACCCATTTTTATTAATAAGAATGGAAGAAATACATATCATATCCTTATCCATTTTTATTAATAAGAATGGAAGAAATATAAATCATATCCTTACCCATTTTTATTAATAAGAATGAAAGAAATACAGATCATATCCTTACAAAATGTAGTGTTTCAATCGTGAACAACTAACTACTCAAACGAACACAATTCATAAGTCTTCTCTCTATCACATACACACACATTATGGGTAATTTAGAATCAAATGGACCCCGTAAACATATGCCAACACATACACTCAGCATACACTCCAGTGGGAGCATATAATCTTTCAAAAGGTTAGTGTAGGGCTACAATGAAGTCGGCGGCTTGGACACCATCGGATCGTAAATTATTTTGATGCTAAAAAATATCAAATTGATCATCTCGTCCTCCAAACTTACGGATACCAAAATAATACACTTGAAACACTAAAAATAATGTATCGTGTAACGCATTATATAGACCGTCCAATTTCAATAATCACATAATGAATATGCTAGATTTGTGTTATCTTTGGAGTTTTAGAATTCATTTCACCAGAAAAATTTATTCAACGGAGATTTCTGGTATCGAAACTGTATTTCCGTGTCAATTATGACTTGATTTTTTATGGTAAAACCGTGGCCTCAAGCTAACCACACCGTTATTCTTAGGGGTGCAGTTGACATACGGATGCATCCGTAGTTGTAGAGGTAAGGTGCACATTCAAATTTTATCATGGTATATAATTTTGACATAAAATGTTCTTAAGATTATCTCAAAATCTATTTTTATATCTAATTATAAAAGTTTGAATTTAAAAAATGGTCAAAATCAAGTAGATCTATAAACATATGAAAATCTTGAAAATGGACGGTGTAGATAATATGTTGTAAAATGTACTATTTTTTAGACTTAAAATCTTTGTATTTTTCATGGTCATATATCTCGATCTCGAGATGATCAATAAGAGGGTTTTCAACACTTAAACTACCTTTTCAGATGGATTTTTTAGGGGCATCCTCCGTTGTTCTACATTACAGGGTTACATCCTTTTATAAACCTTTTCCTATTCTTATAGCTTTAGGAAATGGGAGATTTTATGCAATTTTAGTACACATCTTTTCATAAATAGAAACGTAAATAACTGTTTGGCTATGTATCTTATTATTTTATTGGGAAAATGTTAAAAACTAAGGATGATTTCACTCTAATCTTCGTAGGAAGACGAAAATGGCATCTTGTTTAGTGCTCCGTTAATCCAAAAATAGCAATTTCGCGAAATTTATTCGAGAGGGTTTTATGCATACTATGCTCCCTTGGGCGCATTATTGTACACTTACTCTCTTGGGCAAGGACTACCTTGAAAGGATTTTTTTATTCAAAATTTTAGAAAGGGCAGGTTTCTTTGCGGTCAAGCAGCCTGCATATGTAAAAATGTGTGCCTCTTAATAAATTTATTTTTTAGATAGATTTTAAGGCTTAATTTTTTAAGGACATGTAATCTCTAACATGGAGATCATGAATATAAAAAAATAAATGAATTTTAAAACTAAAAATAATAATTATAATAAGAAAGCATTTGGACAGTTAATTTCTATTGTTTTTAGATGGAACGCCTAAAGATGGATGCTTTCACTTTCTGGACCGTATATGTAGAAATGCGATCCAGCTCGTATAAAACAATTTTCCTTTTAAAAAAGTGATTACTATTATTTTTTATAATTCAATGGGAAAGATAGAATGATAATTAGGTATGGAGGTGCTACCACCACGACCGAGCTCTTTTTCTAAAACCACCGGATGATTATATTCAAACAAAAATGTTTGAATTTTGACTTTTTAATACTTGAATCATGGGCCTCACAAGTTGGTTTTCAACTTTGAGGTATTATTTTTTTAAGACCATAAATAATATAATTTGGAATTTGTTTTTATTAACTATAGCATATAGTTAGAAAAGGTTGCACCCCCTAAAATTTGGAGTATGAAAATACTCATATTAGATTTTACTCGTGGGAGTAGATGGCTAGTATACTCCCTCAAGCGCGTAAAATCCTTTGGCTTATTGAAATGTGGGACCCGCCAAAAATAATTATTTCCCTTTTTTTTATTATTTTTGGCAGAGTTTCCATTTGTCCTTTTTTCTTGTCTTTTTCTACAATCGCTAACTTCCGATTTTGGCGCCAAAAGTTCCCAACGGCTACTTGCGCTCCAAGAATTCCACATTCTCTCTCTTCCCTTCCAACAAATTTCTCTCTCTCTCTCTCTCTTCTGCGTTCCGAGAAATCTCTTTCTCTCTCTTAATATATAGTAAGACTCCATTGTTTCCTATGCAGTTAGGAGAAACGAAGGTATAACGGAGAGAGAGGGGTAAAGTGGAGCGCAAGTTGGAATTCAAAACCAAGCCGAGGAGGAGCCGAAATCGGATTACGAAGAAGTAGTTTCCATGGATAATCTCAACTTGGCTCTTGTTTTCTTCTTAATCTTATCATCTTCTCCCTCTCAATCCTACTCATGGAGTTGGTTTTCTTCTTCAACTAATAATCAATATCAGTACGAGGTTTGGAACGCCCCCATAGGCATAGCAGCGGAATTCTCCATGGATTTTTCAAGCAATTCAAAGGGAAGAGAATTGACTGAGAATGCGAAAACTAAACTCACAGTTTCAAATTCGTGTTGGCAAAATGCTTATAAGGCCCTGTTTTCAAGTTGTAGAGAGATAATCAGTGACCAAGAGAAGAAATCAAGGCTTGCTTGGCATCTAAGTGATTGTTTTCATAAGGATTCAGGGAGGTCCCCTTTTCCTTACTGTGACTTGAAAAGCCCCATGTCTAAATGCCTAAAGAACATTGATGAAGGTGCCCATAAAGTGTACCTCGAGTTCTTCCTTGAAGTGAATTCTATTTGCCATCACTTACAGTTAAGTAATTTCTTTTTTTCTTATTTTCCTTATGAATTTGGTAAGTGTTTTTGCCTGGTTGAAATTGAAGTTCAATTTTTTAATTCTTATAGAAATTCGAAATTGGGTGTCACACTAATCGTTTGCTTTTACAAAATTCTTAATTAGGTTTTGGAAGAATCATAAATACAAGACCAAACCTGTTTCCTGGGTAATGCTTTGTTAGGTGTCGTTATCTTGAGTCCATAGGATGATTTGCTCCTTTCTCAAAGAGTGCTATTTGCATGTTTTGCTTGAATTTTCATTGTTTTCTGGAAAATCTTGAAATGGACCTATTTGTATGGTTGACAATTTCACTGGGTGCTCCAGTTTGTTTGACCACCCTCTGAACTTGGTTTTTGCATGAGTAGTGCTAACATGGTTTCTTTGCTTCTTTAGAACTTGGGACTTTTGAAGTATAATAATTCTAATCAGTGTCCAAAACCATGGAACCAGTTTCAGAACTGGGCAGGGGCCACATGGCCGTGTGACTTGGGTGAGTCCCAAGTTGGCTTGGCAGCTCCCTCTGTTTTGAAGACTCGGGCCAGACTTAGATCATCCTACTATGGCTCATCTGATCCGACTCTGGTCCATCTGGAACCAGCAGGGCACCGGTTCTGAGTGGACTTCGGTAACTCTGAGTCAGAGTTGATGAGTAATCAAAGATCTTATTTATGGTCTTGAGTTTCCAAAAGATGTTTCCTATGTCCTACAACTAAAGAATTCCATTATGAAAGAATGAGTTAATTTGTCCCCTTCTTCTATGGAATTATGATTTAATCTGGTAGAGTTGTATTTTACAGTGATATTCTATTGTTAAGGTTTATGTATTCTTTTGATTCCTTTACCAAATTTAGTTCAAATTTATGAATGTCTTTAGTTTAAAGTTTAATTGATCATTTTACAGGACTTTAGTTTTTGAGCACATATACTTCACAAGCTTTTACTTATTTAGATAATCGTATAGCCAGCATCTATATAACATTTTTAGGGAGTTTTCATGGAGATATTTTTAAGCATAGATTTTTCTTGTCTTTGAGGTAATCCATGTGATTTTCTTCCTATGTATAATCCTCAATTGAATCTAGTGGGCAGAACAATTCAGTCATGGTTTCACATTTTTCTGCTTCCTTTTTTTTTCTTTTTTAATGTTTTACTTGTGCAGATTTGAAGCACTGTACAGCAATATCCTCTGTTTTGCTACAAACTCTATCTACTTTGAAATACCACACTTCCAAATAATTCCTCTATTGAATTTTTCAAGATCAATTAGGATTATTTATTTCCTTTATTTTTAAGACTCGTTTTTCATATTTGCAGGACTGATGCATTCAAGCATGAAACAGAGAGGCTAGTAAACGACTTGCAAAAGTCAGCCAGATATGCAGAGGAAAAGTTAGAAACCATTGAGGAGAGATCGAAATCCTTGCTGCAAAACTCAAATCAGATTTTTGATTCTTTGACTTCCATAGATATTCAAGCAACAGAAGTGGCTAAAAAGACAATGGCCATAGAAGATCAGATTATCAACTTAATGAGGCAATCCACTACTATTTTCGAGCAATCAAGAGAGATAGTTTCTTCTCAATCAGAGTTACAGGAGGGGAATGAAAGGATGAGGGAGAGACTGGACTTAAACATGGGCTTTCTTCATGAGTCTCATGAGAGCTTGGAGAAGGGCATTTCAAGCCTTTCAGAAAAAGCCATAGAAACACAGAGAGAAATCAATCGAGTTGGGGAGTCCATGTCTTCAAAGTTGCAGAGCCTTCAAAACAAAGCAGATGATATTGGGAATGCTGCTGCTATGTCATTGATCAAGCAGAAGCAACTTCTTGATGGACAATCCCAAGCGCTCGAAGGGCTTGGTCATCTCACCCAATTTCAGTCTCAAGCTCTTGAAGAGAGCAGGTACAAATAGCATTAATTACTTGTTTTGCTTTTGATCTTCATAGATTTACTTAATAATGAATATTGTTTATTATCAAGCTCTTGACGGAATTGTAATCTTAACCAATTTCATTCTCAAGCCTTGGAAGAAAGAAGCTTAAATATCAAGCCTCTTTAATTGTTTATACTACAATAGCAAGCATTTTTTATTGCCAATCTCAATGTGAAATGTAGTCCTTATAAATCAAAAAAAATGTGGACTGTAGTCCTTGCATGGTTCATTTAATCTTGGATTTTTGCAGGTCCACTCTGAAAAAATTAACTGATTTTGGTCAAGAACAACAACTTGAGCTCATTCATAGGGAAGAACAACTTCGTCAGGCTCATGACCACCTGATTCAAAACTCTCTAAGCATATTGGCTGCACAGGTATAAAAGACAGTTGGAACTTGTGAAAGTACACTATAATCTAGGAAAGTATACTATAATATAGTGGTTGCAGTGTACCTATAGTCCATTTGGGTCATCATTGTCCAATGAAAAAATGGAAAGTGAATGAGAGATAGTGAGACCGACCAGAACAAGAGTGAAAATAGCGACGGCTCCCATGCTCTCATCAACACCAACCATCTTTTCTTTGGACAGCGGTGACCGTAGTGGGCTACAGCTTTCTATAGTCCTTTGGATTGTAGTATGCTTCCCCATGCTTCTTTAGGATATAATATTGGGAAGTCTATCATTGTTTAAGGGATTTTTCTATATTGTAGTCCAAAGGTGAATCCAATGTCTGTCATAAGGAATGGACAGTGGATAACTCTTTGATGTAATAGACCATAGTCCATTGGATTGTTGTGTACTTTCCAACACATGCTTATTCTAGATGAATCACTTAATAAAGATAGTGATCACTGACTCATTATTCATATGTTCATTTCTTTTTCTCAGGAAGCATTTGAATTAAAGCAAGCAACCATTTTCACAGCTTTGGATAAGCTTTTCTCCCTGCACAAAGCAATTCTATCGGAGTCCCGTGCCATCAAGGCCTTCTTCTTGTACTTGGGAATGATGGTTTTTATATATATGATCACAAGTACGAAGCAAACATGTGGCATAAGAGCACGCCTATATTTAGGTTGGTTTCAGCAAGAGCACCATATTCAATTTGTTATTTCTTTGATGTCGTTATATATCTAAACATAAATTATATTTGATTCTATTTTCAATTGATAACATGACTATTTTTTACCTATATTCATTTACATCAATAAAAACATTGAATCATTTAGGTCTTCTTCCTTTCCAACAATTTTTCTTCGCAGCAGCTAGAGCTCTTAAGTACTCTTGAACCTAGTGATTGCTGAATCTATGATTAGCTTTTGCATTTTCTGTTGACTGCTTGCCTGTTCTAAATACATATAATAGTGTGTGCATGTGATTGCACACCATGGCACATGCATGTGTACATAAACGTATGGATTGGAATTTGAGAACTTTCTTGCTTCATATATGGAGGCAACTTCATGTATCACCTCTGAGTGGTCTAACCAAGTTTGGTTATGTCAGGTCTCTGTGTCATTTTTGCTATGGAGTTTGCAATCATCCGGTTTGGAAGTGATGAACTTGATCAACATATTCAGTTTGCAGAAAAAGTTTTGTACTTGCGAATTTCTTTTGTGGTCATTGCCTTTGTCCAACTTCTCTACTCTGTTTTGACTTTCAGGTACTATTCTTAGCCACTAAATCCTACTGCCTGCACATGTGCACACACAAGCCCACCCACGCACACTTGCAAACACACATACGCACATATATTTTCAAGTTGTCATCGTTATTTTCCTGATTGAGGTCTAATTTCAGGGATTACGAAGTTCTAAACCATCAGATGCTATTGACTGTGGTCGAGAAACTTAATGCCATGGAAGCATACACAGGTATTGTTTCATTTGGATCTTGAAGTTGAATTCCTGATGGTCTTTAATATTGCGAAATGATATATAACTTCCAATAAAAAGGGCACAACTGGACTGCCCTTTCTTTTCTTTTCTTTTTTTTTTTTTTTTTTGTTTGAACGTTAATTTGGGACCTCGGTAGGACTGGAATTCTAGATATCATGTTGTGGCACCTAGCCACTCTAATGACCCAAACCTAAAAGTCATTCCTAAAATTGATTGGCTGTCCATTTCTGTGGCCAACCAATCAATCAGTGCGAGTACCACCCAATTGCTTGAATGTGGGCCCCACCTTACTATCATGCAATCAGTCCCCATATTTTTTTCGGATTCTGATTTTTCTCTTATTTTTACTGTTTTGCAGAGAAGAAGAAGCTGTCTATAGGGACAAATAATGATACAAAATTCCTTTCATGGATAAACAAAGAATTGCAAGAGGATGAGAGCTTAGACGATGATCCTGATTATATACCAATCCTACATGATGAAGAGGAGTCAGTTTCCACAATCACTCTAAAGACATATAATCTACGTCCTCGGAAGCATAACTAGATAGATATAGTTTGAAAAGATTACATGTGGGGTTACTTAATTTTGTTCGTTCCCGATACATAGAAAGAATGAGCCCCTTTTATAAGCAAAAGAAGCATATTTTGCAGTATAGACGGGTATATATTTTTACCGGTTTGGCTTGCAGCAGACATGGAGAGCTTTGGACTTTGAAAGAGAAGGTGCAACTGAACTTGTTAGTTAATATGGTTTCCAAAATTCATTTGGGGACTTGAAATATTGTATCCTTTTATATCTTTGTATAGACAATTCAGATCTTTTCTTGTGATTGATTTAACTATCAATATAGCAAAACTGTTGTCTGTTTCTCACTTGTGAAATTTTATATCCGAAGTTTCATCTCAAATATCGAATATTGAAAGCAGACGCATATAAATATGGATGCAATAAAGATTTATCCTATAACGAGTGGGTTGGGGTTTTAATCCCTGGAAAATGTTTAGATAAGGTTGCAGCCCTATACTATTGAAGTAAGGTGCATGTCAAAAAATCCAATAGAAAAGAGAGTTTCAAAGTTGAAAAACCTTCCAATTGATTACCTTGAACTCAAGATGTATGAATATAAAGAGAAAAAAAGAATTTCACAAAAGCGCATCTTGTAACAAGTTTTATGGATCATCTATTTTCAAGATTTTTAAGTTTTTATAGATTTGCACGATCAACAACATTCTTTTAGAATTTTAAATTTCATAATTAAAGTTGAACATAAATTTTCAAGCTATTCTAATATTGAAACTACATCTTCTAGCAAAATTTAGAGGTGCACCTTACTTGTATAGTATACGGTGGGCACATTGTACAAACCTTACCCTTTTTTAAAGAAATGATTATTTTATTTTGGTATAAGGAAGTAATAATCATTGTTGACACTTAGATGTGAAATTAGGTGATTATAGGTGTGCAACTAACTTTGCACAAAGTCCAAAATAAAATTTCACACACTACGTACATACCTAAAGGCATTAGATTTCACATCTGATGGCTAAAGATGATTATGACTTCATTGTATCAAAAATAAATGATCTTTATATTATCCAATCCTTTATTTTAATATTGGGGCTTTAATGTTTAATGCTTTTCAAATTGAAATACCCTCGGACCCTCCTGTTATATGCCCTGTTAGAACATATTCTATACTTACTCTTGAGGGCAAAACACTTACTTAGCGGCATTAGTTTGGCTTTAAATTTTGAAATCACCTTGGAATCATAATATGATCAATATTTAGAAGAAAATAAAAAAAAATATGAATCTTTAAACATTCCCAATATATGGAGTTCAAATAATCTTCCAAAGTGAATGTACCTATACATTTTGTCTCTTGTGACATAATGGAAGCTTTTCTAGTTGCTAGAGCAAGTAGGAAAGTTATATTTCTATATTTAAAATTTCACATGTTGATAATCTCTACTGCCGTTATCATGAATATGAAAACCAAAACAAATGCTAAACTTTTAAATATGGTTTATTTTAAATGAATGAAAATAAGTAGTCCAAATATGTTCCAATAAAAAATTTAAATCATTTTAGTATTTAGAATTTAAATTTTTTCACATTCATGTTCATGATAGTCGACATTATCGAACAATCAGTTTTATACATGAGTTGACTGTTGTGCTAAAACCCCTCCATTGAAAATGGGGTGTGGTTTACATAAAGTGCCCACCTTAATTAAAGTAAGGAAATGGGGGTGTGGTTTAAATAAGGTGCCCACCTAAAACAATTAAAGTAAGGAATGCCTTCAAACCCTGGAGGATAAAATTACGGTACCAAACCTCTTATGATGGCTTGAAAATGTGTTTCAATTCCCTAATATTAAATATTAGAGCTTTTTAAATAATAAAGATCAAGCACATTTATAAATACATGAAAGTATTGAAAATAAACGATCTATATAATGTATTACAATATGCATTATTTTAAGACTTGAAATCCTCTTTTTTCCATATCTAAATATCTCGAGGTTGAGATATTAATTGGAAAGTTTTATAATTTCAAAACAGCCATTTTCCAACAAAATTTTGGGTGTTCATCTTCTAACACATTATCTAAACCGTCTATTTTCAAAATTTTCAAGTATTTATGGATCTGCTTGATCATCATCATTTATGGAACTTTAACTTTCATAATGGGGTGATTTTCATATCATTGCAAGGTTTTGAGGCACTGAAACTGCATTTGGCATAGTTGAGGTACACCTTACTTCAATGATATAAGGTTTATACCAATGGTTTAAAAAAAGGATCGTTGACCCGGATCGAGCTTCCAAAAAATCGATACGGATCGGCGAATCGGCGATCCGGATCCGGAATCGGGTGAATCGATCAGAATAAAGCTTAAAAAAAATCCGAAAAAATTATTAAAATTCATTATAAATATTGTTTTTTAGGAATTCAATAAGAAATGAGGGTACTCCATTAAGAATTTTCATGTTTTGAATGAATATGTGAATATTGATATGTTCTTTCCTTGCATGAACCGCCATTCAGCATTTAATTTACATCACACAAAAGGATAAACATATAATTATCATGGAATAAGTATATCAACATACATGGACTACAATAAAACATAAAATTAGTAACATATAATCTAAAAATAAAATGATAGACGACGTTATTGTTCTTCTCGGTCACGCTGGTGCCATTGATTGAATTCGTTTAACAATTCATTGATTCGATCTAAAAACGAATCATCGATATTAGCAGGCGCTGACTATTCCCAAATCCCTGAGTGTTAGTGTTTTATTGTGTTCCCAATCTAAAATCCTCGAAGATTGTCCATCCTTCATGCTCACCTGCACTGTCGTGCTCATCCCTACACTGTTGCTGTTGGGACTCGATATGTGAATAATATGGCTGTGATAGGGTGGCCTCAGAATCATCATCTCTCTCATTTTCTCTTTGAATAATATGGATTAAACAAAAAAAATAACAAATTTTCAAAAAAATCGATCATGGATTAAAAAAAAAAAATCACAAATTTTCAAAAAATTCTATCATGGATTAAAAAAAAAAATCACAAATTTTCAAAAAATTCAATCATGGATTACAAAAAATTCGATCATGGATTACATAAAATTCGATTATGGATTACACAAAATTCGATCATGGATTACAAAAAAAAACAAACAAACAAAAACAAAAAATTCAATCGTGGATTACAAAAAAAGAAAAAAACAATTCGATCATGGAATACAAAAAATTCAATCATGGATTACAAAAAACTCTATCGTGGGTTACAAAAAAAACAAAAAACAAAAAATTCGATCATGGATTACAAAAAAAAAAAACATTTCGATCATGGATTACAAAAAAAAACAAACATTTCGATCACGTATTACAAAACATTCGATCATGGATTACAAAAAATTCTATCATGGGTTACAAAAACAAAAAATTCGATCATGGATTACAAGAAAAAAAACAAACATTTCGATCATGGATTACAAAAAATTCGATCATGGATTACAAAAAAACGATCAAGTATTACAAAAAAATCTATCATGGATTACAAACAAACAAAAAAAAAAAAATTCTGTATCACTGTACGGACTCGCCGATTCCGTACAGTGAATCGGCGAGTCACTGTACAGAATCATCCGGTTCTCTCTAGAACCAGACGATTACCGTTTTTTTCGCAGATTTGATCCGTCCATGGCGATTCCCGAGTCGAACCGGGCGACCGGTTCGACTCGACGTTTTTTTAAACACTTGTTTATACCTTAAACAAACGTCACCCGATAAAATACGAAAAATTGTTTCATGCAGGCTGGACCACATATCTATATATGCTATCCAGAAAGTGTAAACCATCCATTTTAAAAATAGATGCAATTAGGTGTTCCATCTAAAAACAATGAAAACTAATGGTCTAAATGTTTTCTTACAAGAAATATTATTTTTAGTTTTTAAAATTTATTTATTTTTTTATATTCATGATCTCCATGGTGGAGATTACGTATCTTTAAAAATTACGTCTTAAAATCTACTATAAATATAGATTTATTAATAGGCCCGGATTTCTATATATGGAGGCTTGACCGCATAAAAACCAGGTCCCTAAAACCTCTCCCTTGAAATTTGAAAACAATAACTTCAACATCACGTAAAATGATTGAAAATGATTGAAGGAGAATAGGATGAGGTCGTGTCTCCTGTGGGTCTCAAACTTATTTCCCATTTTGTCGCGTTAATGAGCAATAATGATTCAACGGACAACCCTGGTTTTGGGTGAATAATGGACTATGCTGTTTTCGTTCTCAAAAGGTAAGATTAAATGTTACAAGATGGCTATAGTCAACAAATAATCACTGCCCAATAAATTAATCGACGGAGATGGATAGTAGACTGGGAAGAACATGACATGACCTTGGTGGTAGTTCTCAATCTCCCTATCACCGCCCATCGATAAAATTGGACCATGATAACGATTGTTAGTATATCTTTTTTGGAAAAATATAGCATGATCCACAAGGTCAAAGTAACACCAGGGACCATGCCATTTATCACCATGAACCTGCCGTGGGATGGTGATGGTTTAGCAGGGACAGACCATGTAAACCCCCCATCTCTAAAATTATAATCCTAAACATCCCATGAAACACTCAAGTTAAAAATAAAAGATGGCGTCTAATCCTTCCTTACATTTTTCATTGTCTAAATTACCTAATTTATCTTTCATTTTTTTCTTAATCACCGTATCATATAAAGGGTGCGGTTTGTATAGAGCCTAGGCTCTAAACAATCAAATTAGAGCCTACCTTCAAATATTGTCAAAAAATGTACTTTTAATATTGAAAATCTTTGTGATAGCCTTAAAATATATTTTCATATTTAAAGCTTGAAAATTAGTGTGGATCGACATATCTATGAAAACTTGAAAATCTTGAAAATTGAGAATCCAAAAATGCGTTACAAAATATACTATTTCAAAACTTGCAATCCATTTTTTTCTCATGTCCATACATCTTGATGTGGAGAAGATCAATTTCAAGATATTTGGGCATCACAACCATCTCTTCTAGTGAAATTTTTAAGGTAGGCTCAAATTTGATTGTTTAGAACCTCGGCTCTATATAAACTTTTCTCTTATCTAAATCCTGGAAAAGTTTTCATTGTCTTTATATTTCTTCCTCACTCGTGGATCTCTTCCTTCCTCTTTTTAGCAACATTTCCTCAATATTTATCTATCTCTCATCTCGTGAATCTCATAAGTAAGTTAAAAGAGGCATCACAAACTCAATATTTATGACAAGGTTATTGAAAAAAATAAGAAAGATAAATTCTGTAATTTGGACAATAGAAAAAGATAAAGAAGGGGTTAAACGTTATTATTTGTTTAACAAGGGTTCCATGAGATGTTTATATGACCAGGGGGTTATTTGAAATTACGATTTTAAAGAGAGTGGTTTAGGTATTTTTCCCATTCATCTAATGAAGTTGTACATTAAGATCCACTTCCCTCCATCACCATCCAATCCATATGTGGGTCGGTGACAGCCTCATGGTCCTGGTACTCGTTTTATGGGAGAATGTTTTAAATGGCCATATCAAAAACATGTTAGCTACACCGCAGTTCTCACACAAAATATGATCTTAGTTCCAGAAAGGTGTAAATCAATATCGACCACAACAAAGAAAATATTCAAGTCTTGAAAATAGTCTATCTTGTAACGTGCTTTGTAGGCCATTCATTTCAAGTGTTCACAAATTCACAAGATCTATGCCATTATCGAAACTTCAAACTCCATAGCATGAGGCAAAAATATGGATTTATAGACCCTCACAAAAATTTATCAAAAATTTATAGTGCAAGTTTTTAGGTACGGCTCGAACAATATTTTAAGAAAAAGTATATAATGAGATCATTTACCAACGGTATAAAGCAGTCACGATTAATCTTGACCATTGGATGTGAAATTGGGTTACTACATTTATTTCATTGACCAAACTCAAAGTTCAAAATGAATTTTCACGAACTTTGTGACACACACGAGCTATCAGATTTCACGTCAAATGATTGTAAGTAATTGTGACCTCTTGGTACCAAAGATAAATAGTATCACTGTAAACAACCCCACATTTTAAAAGAAGAGTTTCTTTCCTCGTAGGGACCAGTAGGTTAGATTGGACAAGGCCCCATCCAACCTTCACAAAATAGCTTTGTTTTTCATATTTTATTTTTATTTAAAAATAATTTGATCTTAAATTTAGGGTGTATCCATTTTTTTAAAGTGCGCCCAATAAAAGTAGTAAGAAAATAAATAAAAAATGAATCTATTTCAGATAAATATAATTTTTAAACAAAAATAAAAATGCCCCAAATTTTGAATAAATATCATTTTTAAATTAAAAAAAGACAGCTATTTCATGACCGTTGGATGATGCTAGATTCAATCCGAACTATTCAAGCATCCACATCATGTGGACACCACACCTCGCAATTGGTAGACCTACAAGAACCACAACCTTCATTGTTGATCTCACCCACGCATTAGGCTTACAAGTTTATCTCAAATGGCATCTTCTAAATCCTACCCTAAAATCTAATTTTTTTTTATAGAAAACCCTTATGATGATCTAGAAATTTATATTGGACGTTTGATTATGAAATTTAAAGTTCAAAGAATAGTATTGATGTAGTTGAAACGTGAATATTTGAAAAAAAAACAGCCCCAACATGTTACAAGATACATTATTTTTAGGGTCTGAAATCTATTTTATTTTTAAATCTATGATCGTCAAGGTTGAAATGAATATTTGTGGGTTTCTCGATGGTTAAATTACATTTTTTGTGCTAAAAATTACTTCTTCTTTTTTTTTTATGATATTTGATATATATTTTTACTTTTATTAGTGTTTTAAAAATTGCCAAACATAACCAATAGGTACTAATCGAGGTCTAAGACCTCCCAATTTCACCATGTTCTGTAATCCTCGAGGGGTTTTTTTTTTTATTCATTGATACAAAAACCTTTGAGAAGCATCAAGCTGCTTGAAAGTATTGTGTAATTGATTTGGCCCACCAATTCATTTTTTAAAAAAAAACTGATCGAGCTACATATAAAAGATGAATTATTCAACATTTCACCTTATTGCAACTATTATATGATCATGTGTAATAAAAAATATTTGTAAAATATTAAATAGCCATATCTTATAATTATTTTGATAAATTATCCTTTTTATAAAACACAAACACAATTTTTTTTTTTTTTTTTATGACAAATAACACAAACACAACTTTTATTGCAAAACCTAAGGCTTAGGCTTATGGTAACCTAGATTAAAAGATTTCTCTCTACATGACTATTTACACAGCTTACATATGACGGTCATAAGCTATGCATATGATCAACATAACAATTTGAGCGTGCGGATTATCACCTTCCAATCTTGATGGTGACAGAAGAGAGAAGGACTTACAGTTATAATATTTTTTGGGGACCCTGTCTCTCCATCACCTTCGTACCCATGCTGGGACGGTGATAACCACATGGTCATAATGTTAACCATGCGGATCTCATTTTTATTGTTCTCATCATTTCTCCTTCAAGACCGTAGTCCATAGGGCGATGGAGTACATGACAATTTCATGACTACGTAATTTTCAAACGCATAAATCATGACTACGGGTGGCAATGGACCAGGTGGCTCAGCCTTCAAAACTAGGGCCTAAGCCACAAAATTTGGTGGGTTTGGCCCGACCCGTATTTTTTTCATTTTTTTTTTTCTTTGTTTTATTTTAATTTCACCCTACCAAGCTGCGCCTTGATAAGAACTAACCTGGGGTTGGCCCTCATGGGAATAGGGCCAGGGCAGGGCCGCCCCCGTTCCAAGCTCGGTCCGTTGGCAGCCCTAATCACGACGTGACTACAACAAAAGAACGGTAACATAACATGTGATCTTGTAGCCAGTGCCTCTCGGTTTGTCATCTGCACGGTCCAGCCATTTAGTGGACGGCGATTGCCCGGATGAGCACCTAACTTTTATATAGTAAGAAGGAGCACTATAAAATATTAAATGAATTGAAGCCCAACCCCCCCTTCTTCTTCTTCATTTCTCTCCTCCGATCTCGTAGTTTCAGGCGATACCATGATCCAACGGAGTAGGGTTCACGGTAGCCAAAGGATCTTTAACCGTTGGATATTGATAAGTGACAGCGGTACGAACGGTGGATGATCCTTTAGAGTACCGTATACCATAGTTTCCCATTGGATCACGATAAACTTTCCCTTCTGTCTCTGGATTTTCTCGTGCTCTCCCTCTCTCTTCCGTTGTAGTCCAGGAAACCCTAGCCCCTCTCTGTCTCTCTCTCTTCGAATTGTTCCTGTGCGATCGAAGAAGCAAATAGGTGTTTCTCTCTCTAAGCTGCCATGGAGGAAGCCTCACTCTCTGCAGATCCTCCGACAGTCAGAGATGAAAGCAGATCCCTTCCAGCCTCTAATCAGGTATGCAGAAATGCCTCTCTCTCTCTCTCTCTCTCCTCTCTCTCTCTCTCTCTCTCTCTCGTCTCGTCGTCGTACGT